AATAGGGTGAATACATCTCATTACACTGATTTACTGGTAGTCTCGAAACCCTACTCGCATACGAATATAATATATAAAGTCTGGTGTTTCAAAATCACTAACCTTTCACTTCGCCGTCCTGTACGGAGGCGCTCTCTGCGCCATTATGGCCGCCCACCTGCAGAGGCTGGGCCTCGCGTGATGACGCCGTCTGAGAGGAGCACGAGGCACGTCTAGGCTCTCCGGCGCTGCCCGGTATTATTTCTACCTGATTGGCGTCCATGCTGAGCCGGTGGACCTTCCAGTTGGTCATCTGTCCTGTCCAGGCAGTCGGTCGGTGCGCCGGACAATCGCATTCCGTCGCTATCAAGACCGCTTCTGCCTCGACGCCAGCAGAGTTGATGGCCACTGAATTGGCAGTTCCGACTCCGATGCTGACGGAGGGCTCGACAGAGTCAGTGCTCGGCTGGAGGGTCGGTCTGGAAGAGTGGCTTCCGCTGCCGAAGGGATCCAGACTCTGGCAGCTACTGCCTCTGCTGCCAGGGCCGGTCTGCGCGCCGCTGTCGCTGGCCGCCAGACTCTGACGACTGGTGCCCTCCTTGCCCGCCCCATGCGCCCTAGGGATGGGGTGGCTGGCCCGCAATGCGGGTCTACCAGATGAGGCGCTCGTAGGGCCCAGCGTAGCCTGAGCAGCCAGGAGGTGACAGGGAGTGTGGGCGTCAGAGGCTACCTCGTCCGCTCTTGGCCTGCACTGATACCACGCTGCTTCACCAGCAAAGTTTCCCTGGCCGAACCCGGTGCCTTGGCTATCTGTCGCCACCTGATTGCCCATTTCACGACCCGTACTCTTCACCTCCAACTCAGACTCCTCAACCTCATTGCCAACCTGAGCTGGACTTCTATGCTCGTCTAGCGAGTCGGTGTTGTATCTGCTAGTGTGTTCAGCGAGAGATGGTGATCTGCCCATACGCTCAGACCGACTGGAGTCTGCCTTTCGTAACGCCAAAAGATCGCGTACGGCTTGCAGTAAATATCGAAGCTAAAAGGAGAAGAGTGAGTTATTAGCATTCAGTGGTTCAGTTAAGTTTTGAAACTATGAGTTGATCGGGAACAGATCAACATTCATCCCGGGCCGCATAAGGTGATGAAGGATTGATAATTGAATTTTCCCATAATAAAATAAATAAGCCTCGTGATGCCATTAAATTTTGCTAAGCCTCGCTTCCAAAAGGTATTCTTATCTCGACTAGAGTGGACTAAAGTTTCGACCTCGCCTGGACAGGTTTCATCAACATCTCAGCGGGAATCGAACTCGAATACAAAATGTGATGAGGAAGAGGTTTGGATAGCGTTGAAATTCACGTCTGCCCTGTGTCCCACCAGCGCCCGTGGTAGTGTGACGTAGTGGTAATACGTCGAAATAGTACGCTGTACACTCTGGTTCGATTTCTGATGATTAAACTTAAGCGAGACCAAAACTGCAGTTTATCCTGAATGAAAACATCTTTTAGTGAGTAAGACTAAATGAAATTAAACGAGAACCTGAGGCCTACTTATATCATTCTAGTGATTGAGTAGGTTTTCGAGACTACCAGTAAATCAGATATATGAATTGTTTTCACCCTATTTCGTTTAAGTTGATGAAGGACTGGTAGTTGAATTTTTCCACAATGATATGAGTAAAAATAATGTTTTCCGCCCTGGATGAGAACAACATTTTGGAAAGCAAGGCTATGTGAAATTTAACGGAAAACATCAGCTCTACTCATATCAC